AAAATTGCGAAGTAGATCTTGATTTGATCTTTAGATAGCCTAAGAACTGAAAAGGAATTGAAAGCATATGATCTATTCCATTCTAGTTATAAGCAAAATATAAGTGGCCTTGAGATATTGAAGCATAGAATTGAATATTTTTCTTTAACTTACTATATAGATATGACAAGAAATGATAATTTAGTGCTATATGACTATGTTTTGATCTCAATCAAGGAATAAGGATTGACATATTCAAGGCTATGTTAGAGTCCTTTTTTTTATTTGTGCAAAAAATGAGTTTTATAATAGCGAATTTTTGAAAAAAAAAATGTGTGATTAAAAGGTAGGAAATTTTTTCGATTTATGTGGAAAATTATTTTACTGGGAGAATGAATGATTAAAAATGAGTTTGAGAAAATGAATTTTTAAAAAATAGGCTCAAATAGGGGTCAAATAACATTTTTGACAATTGGTTTTCTTTGCAGTGATTTGGTCCAATATATAATCTGATTTCTGCATGAAACCCTTAAAACGTTGGATCATATGAGTCCATATCTAAACAATAATCATAAACAAGAACCAATTAAACAAGTTTAAAATCGATCGATAGACCTAGCACAAAGCATTCTAGAACATTCTATTCCACCAAGGCCGCCGCAATACGACCTAGCACGGTGGGTTACACCTCTTCATACCAAAGTCTTTAAGCATCATGAGTTAAGTAAGACTACGACGTTTATCATCTTCAACCTTTGCCCATTCCTTTCACCTCTTAACAACCCTGAAATTATTATTGTTGGCAAAGTGGGTGAAGATTTGACATGATGTTGATCAAAATCTTGTCCACATGTTACGCGTGTCACGTCTATATGAAATCAAGGTCCACAAAATTATTGATTCCCTAAGCCATGGGTTAATTACCAACTACTTGACCATATGCACCTTAGCAGGGCTTATGGGCTTCTTGCAAATTTTGATCCTCTGTGTGTATGTGTATATATATATATATATTCATTTATTTTCCAAGTGTGATGAGAAACCATGTCTTATACTTTAAATTTGACTCGAGCTCTTGATGAGAAATGTGTTTATAGCATGATCGGCAAGCGTGTCTTAAATTTTAACGTGAAAAGTAAAGGCTCTTTGAGCATAGATGGTCGTAGTAGTAAATTGCTTTTTAGATTCATTGTAAAAGAAAAATGAGAAGAAGATAAGATGTACTGTTTTAAATATATTTTATTATGTCAATAAGTGAATTCTTTTAGACTTCGCAAATTCTATGATCCAACTTGTCACGTAAGTATAGGCCTAATCAAATATTCTAGCCTCAAGGAATTACTTCACCCATCAATTCAAGAGTCGGTTGTGCTACGTATATATCACGACTCACCGATTTATCAACAAATGATGCGGCGAAATTTGATTGGATTAAAATCTCGTCAATCAAATAAAAAAATCATATTGTTTTTGACAACTCATCAATATGTAAAATATTATATAAATAGTAATGTACACCAAGCATTTTTTTTACAAAAGTAGTGTTATTCATAGTCAACGACTATAGTAGTCATCTAACGTAGTTTAATTTTAGTAATTACAAAATATGAACACTTTTCATAATATTTTTATTTTAATTATATAGATTAAGTCACATAACATGTCATGTCAGATGGACTAATTCAACCGTTGACTATGAATAACATTATTCAGCAATTCAAAAGTGGAGAACACAAGTGGAACAAGGATTTGGTGCTGAGAGTGGGCCGTTTTTTCAAGCTAATTGTGATTAAGTGGGATCAGATACCATAAATCAAGATTCTCAAGCATCCTCTTCCAGTCCTCTACTTGTTTATAAAGTTATGTCCTTTAAGTCTCTCAAAAAATAAAAAATAAAAAACAAAAAATAATTTATCCCTGAAGATCAAATGCACATCAAACTTTCTTTCATTAGGTATCTTCCTTTTATGTTCACCAGTCTGTACTTTGCCACTTAAAAGCATCTTCATATTAGAAAAAAACCGTCCTCTATTTTTTGTACCTAGAATTCAATTCTGTCTCTTGAAGCAAGAAAATAGTTCAGAAACAGCCCTTTGGATTTAGATCAGAAGGAGATGTTCAAAACGGCGTCAAGCGCGTATCTGCAGATAGCAAAGCAGGGACACTAAGAAGAAAGGACAGTAAAGGATTCATTCGATTTGTTGGAGGGATCAAAGTTGTGTTCTTGGAAGGCTTACTTTTTTAGAGGCAGGTTAGACTCCTGGTAATTATCAGCCACCGGGAAACCAAGAAACTTCCTTTTCCTGCAACATGTTTGGTATACAGTATTAGATGGTACTCTACTCGTAGTACAAAATTCTAACTACTTTTTCTTTTCTGTCTAATCGACCTTACCTAACGTGCCAACAGCGTTTAAATTCTTGAAAGTGGAGTATAAGATAAAGATTTGTGATTATATGAGGGGGATGAATTCTCTTCTTTCCATTTCCTTTGTAGTCCGATTTGCTGTCGAATTTTGTTGGAGTAGAGAAAACTGCAGCCTATTTGCGTAATTCATCACACTCAATATTGGTTTAACAGTTTTAAAAGCTGCAGGTTTTTATCAAAAAAGACCCTACTTGTTTGGTACTTTTGATCATTGAACCAATTCGAATCTGATGAGTTTATATCATGAGCCACGCCGTTTCCTTCTCGACAAACAGCCTGTTTCCAATACCAGCGCCAGACCGCATAATGGAAAAAACGGTGAGGCTAATTTCGACACGAACATGGTCATCATCTTGGCAGCCTTGTTATGTGCACTAATATGTGCACTTGGGATAAATTCAATAGTAAGATGTATACTGCGATGTTCTAATAGGCTTACCTTGGATGCAACAGACCAAACACCGCCCCGGGGAGTGGCGAGAAAGGGCCTAAAGAAGAGGACTCTGCGACAGATTCCGGTGGCTGAGTATGGATCAGGACATGATAATGCTGCAGCATTTACAGATTGTCCAATATGTCTAGGTGAATTTATGGATGGTGAAAAGGTTAGAGTGCTTCCATATTGTCACCACTGTTTCCATGTGAAATGTATAGATATTTGGTTGGCTTCACATTCGTCGTGCCCGACGTGCCGCCAGTCATTGGAGGACCAGCCAACGGATGCTGAGGCTGATGGGAGGCAGGGAGGAAATGCAGCAGGAGAACACGGTGATTTGCCTAGTTTTGCTGATGAAGCGTGCTAATTGCTTAGCAAAAAATGTCATAGTGCAATGAACAACAATGGTTACTTGTAGTTGATATTCTATATGTTGTTCAAAATCTTTTTATTATGTAATGCTCGAATCAGATGTGTAAACTGGTTGATTGTGCAGCATTTGCATAGACAAATCTTGTCCTGAAATTGAATCTATGCCCCTGTTTGGTTTTGTAAAATATAAAATTTTTAGTAAATTTTTATAAAATTTGATAAAATATGGGCTTACACGACCTTCAAGCATGCCAGGACAAGTGGGCCACCTTGGGCACCAATGGTTAGACCATTTTTACCCATAAAGGTTTATGATTTATCTTTTCCCTCCCTCTTTCCATTGTCTAATTGTATCAGAATTCAACTTAAAGCTTTGTCTAGAAGAGATTTTACTCCCATTTTCAGCAATTTTTCAATTGTTACTGGGCCCCATTTTGGCCGCAATATTTGACTGTGGAAAAGTAAATATCAAAAATGTCCAACCATCGTGAAGAATGAATTAAGCCCCCGTTTGATCCCCATTAAATTCAATTACATTACATTTCATTTTTCTCTTTCTTATTTTCAACCACACAATTTTCTATAAAATAATATTACACGTACATCGAAAATATTTCATTCTTTTTCAACCACTCATTTTTTTTAAAAAAAAATACTATTTCCCCCATTTTCATTTTCAGGTAATGGGGGTCAAACGGGGGCTAAATGTTAAGGGGTAAAAATGTCTTTTTGCCTTAAAAGTGGTCCAAATTTGAGATTGGCTTGCATAGTAACGATCAAATTTTGGCTTCAATTTTATCCAAGATCACTCCCAGACAAGGACTAAGTCTAAAAGGTCATGGATTCGAATTCTAAAAGCACGGTAAAAATCTGTAAAGAGTAAGATGGGTTTAGGCTCACCCATAATGGACAATACGCATGCTATGAGCCAGGCATAAGGTCTGAATCATTATTTAAAAGAAAAAGGAAAAAAAAGAAAGGCTTGTTTTTTGTAAGGGGTTTAAAAATGAAATGCAAAATATCTCAATATAGCCAAACACATTAAGTTTCTGTGGCCCACATTTTCTAAAACTCATTTTTCCTCTAACTAATTTTCATTAACACATTTCACGAGACTCGCAATTCTTATTAACTTTTCAACCACACATTTTATCAACTTTATCAAAATCTACTAAAAATTTAATTTTTATCTAAACTAGACAGGAACTAAGGTCATATCCAATCCTGCACCAAAATTTGAGGTAAATTTTGCACCAAAACTTGCACCAAATTAAAAATCATATCCAACAATTATATCAAAACTTACACTAAATGAACAGTGTTTAATAATTTTCTTCTCTTTTTTTTATTCTTAATAATTTATTTACTTGAAAAATTATTTGTTTATTTATTTTACAAATACATAAATCACTAAATGAATAATTACGTTAAACTAACGAAAATATTAAATTCATTAATAAATATAAAAATTTATTTTTTATATTATTAAAATTTATTTTATTATTATTAATAATCTTAATAAGAATTATAATAATAAAAATTTACTGTATTAAAAATATATAATACAAATGACACAAATACGCTCCATCAATTAGTTTGGCAAATAGAAGAAAATGGTAAATTTGACTTTACACCATTTTGTACAAAATGGTGCAAACTTTAGTGCCACATTGAAGAAGTATTGCATCAAAATTTGGTGTATCTTGGTGATTTGGTGCATCCTTTATAGATGCCCTAACTATCACAAAATTATTTTGTTATTTAAATGCTAATCCACGAAAATAGTTTCAACACAGAAGATGTATGTGTCCTATGGACATTGTTACACGTACATCAAACTTTACATAATGAGTTACATAATATCACATATTACTTTATCATTTGTCAATTTAAAATACGGTAAACTTTTTCTTCCAATCTTTTCCCTCCACATCATTTTATGCAATCCCTTGTGTACCATTTTTATATACAAATAGCTTAATCGTTGTTCTTTTTTGAAAAAAAAGTTGTCTTTGATAGATTCTAAGTCATTGGATATATCATTTTGAACTTGTCAAACGAGTAGTGCACGTGTATTTTGTGTTACATGTAACTCAAAGCAAACGTACGCATAATTGCTCGTTGTATTCTTTTTAGTGTAACGCATAAAAGATTCTCTTTGAAACTTCTTGGATCTAACTCTTTGAAAAATATAGAGAAATTGCTTGGACAAATAGAACTTTTCTTCTTTGGAAAAAAATCTGAAATGTGAACAGTTTGAAGTTAACATTCAGTTCATTGGGTTTAGTTATTTCACATGCCAAGTTGTTGTCATTCTTTACCCCAATTGACTAACATTTCATTTTCAAAAATGAGATAATTGCCAGCTAAACACAAGAGAACAAAGGTTAGAATAATCCGAGTAATATTTGCTAGAAGCCTAATCAAGATTCATTCTTGTTTTCATTTTTATTTGACTAACCACGATAAGTAGATATGTACATATAGGTACGTAGAGTGGGTTGAATGTTTGGCAAAATCTTTAAGGACGTGAATCAAAAACTTTTGATGAGTCTTTCAAGATGAATGAAAATAAAAATTTTAAAGGAGCAAATGAAATCGATGAAAATTTCATTTATAGTCGTCAACAAGATTATGGTCACTGATTCAACAAAATAAATATATGTAGATTATTTAGTCAGGATTAGATATAACAATACTGTGGATTATCATCAACGTACACAACGATTATCAAAGATAATATAATCAATAATGTTGTTGGCGACCGTCAATGATGCTTCGGTTGCTCGTTGTCGGTGGAGAATTACTCAACTACAAAGTTATTCTTTATTATTTTTTTATTTTTTTTGTATTTTGTATTAATTTAATTCCGGAGGTGACTTTAGACATTTATTTATTAATTTGTAACTTTTGTTTTATTTCCCAAAGAATTTTTTTGTCATTAGTATTTAAATTTTATATTTTTATTACTTTATTTATTGAAGAAGTTTCATCGGTCAAGAAATTTATCACCAAGACAAAATCAAACTTGTGGATTGTGTTGTTAAAATTATTTGGAATAAAATTTTCTAAACTTTGGAAGCTTTATCTAAACATGGGGCCTTAGACGACTATCTCAATTGTATAAAGATTAAGGCGGCTTTGCATTGACGGTTTTCAATATGCACAAACCATTTTTGAACATGGTGAGTGAGGTCTTTATATTTAAGCATTTTTTTTTTAATTTAATGAAAGAATATTTGCTATCTGCCTAACATAATTTGAACTTATAGGTCGTGTTAAACTATGAAAATATTTTCCTTAATAGAGGCTTATCATAAACTCGAGCTCGAATCAACTCAACATAACCTACTGTACATATATAAATGGTCAAAATCTTGAGCAATTGATGATCTTCGTTTGCAAAAATATCTCGATATCATGTTACCTCGTTTATGATGTCCAAGAATTTAGGTTTTGTTTTTCTTAAACCTCAATATTCATGTTTGACTTAGTGCTTGTTTGGTACAGATTTTAAACCAATTAAAATCATTTTTTTTACCGTTATTTCAGTATTCCAGCCGTCATTTTTGAATTCTTCTGTCACAAGTAGGACCCATTTTATCTCTAACGGTTAAAAAATCAATTATCAAAATTCCTACCAAATAAGTACTTAAACGTTAAAATATCACATTTTAACAAAAATTAAATTATTCCATATACCTTTTTAGTTTAATGTAAACCTAATTTCCAGTAACACCCAACTTACTAAAATTCAATTTAAGTTCAACAATACAAGATTCTTAGAAATAAGTAGATATTCTACTTCTTTATGATTAATCTTAGCCATATCTTCTAATTTTCAACTTATAAATGGCCCATGTGGGTTTGATTTGAAAGGTATATATATTGATAAGAAAGCATATAATGTGGAACACAAAGAATCATAGATCATCATAGGATTATAGAATGGAATCTCAAAACTTACTTTTGCTTCCTCTTTCATGAGCCCTTCTAATTTTGAGGAGCCACAAAAATATTTTTTAACCTTTTTAATGCATTTATTCATCATACGATTATAAAGTGGGAATTTGATTGAGACACTCTGAAATGCATAATTCATAAATAGGGTAATTAACAAAAAAAACATCCTAGTCATTTGTACTCATTGCGAAAATGGTCCCTATCGTTTCAAACTTGTCATTTACACCCTCATTTCAAACTTTTCTTGTAGAATTGGTCATTTCCGTCATATTCCGTTAACTCCTTCAATTAAATAACTGTAATTTGGTGCAAAACGTCCCTATCATTTGCTTTAATTACTCAAATAGTCCCTATCATTTCAATTTTAACATTTGAACACTCAAATCGACATTTCTTTTGCTTAAATGGTGTTTATTGTCCATTTTCTCCATTATAAATATTGACATAAAAAACGTGTCAATAAAATTTCGAACACATCCCCTCCACTTATACATCACTTGCACACTAAATCTTCCCGTTAAGAGGCAAAAGTTGTCTGTCGAGAAAAATGTCTGACAACCTTTAACACTCCGACGGTCAAGTCAAACGCTACGACAGTCAACTCCCTCTATTGCACTCATATTTTTCTCGTATATGAACTACCTTGAAAAATCGGTGTAAGCCTGAATAAACAAGAACTTACGAATCACCTTGGCCGATGTCGCATATAATTTATCAAAATTTCGACAGTATCTTCTCCTTAATATGGACTCAATCAACCTGTAATACAAAAAAATATATATCCACTACACATATACAAAATAAATTTTCGGTCCATTTGTCCCTTCAGATAATGACAACAAAGAGAAAATCATAATAAATCATATGTTTGCACAACTAGTGTAACAGTATTTGTAATGTACAAAGGGGTTGTCATGCATCATAGTAAATCATATGTTTGCACAACTAGTGTAACAGTATTTGTAATGTGAAGTAAGTAACATGTTGATAATATAGATAATGTATATAGGTACTGGCAGTAGTGAAAATAGTATTATGACAAGCTAGTAATAATAATGTAATGATACAAAGTTACTAATGATAACTGTTGATCCCAAAAGATATGACAACAGAATCTCGACTTCGTTCCTTCCACGTGATATCACATGCAGATTGAAACTCCGTTAGAAGGCAAAGGCCATCGGTCAAAAAAAAGGTCCGACTACCATTTGCACTTCAATAGTCAAGTCAATGACCGAACGAGAGAAATATGAGTACAAGAGAGTGAGA